CACTCCTATCTGTGACTACACACTCCTATCTGTGACTACACACTCCTGTCTGTGCTCAGTCCGTGGTGTGATGTCATCAGCCTTCTGTAATTATCTGCTACGTTCTTGAGTGTTTTCTTAACTGATGTTTCTAACTCTTGAATGGTCCACATGTTGAAAACCATAAACTACTGTATTATACAACAGTCCTTACTCCTTAAGAGCACTTGGGGATTATAATGGTGGGTGTCTTTAAACCTGTCCAACATTGATGCTGATCTGGAGCGCTGATATCTTGACACAGTGAGCTCTTAATGGACATCATCACGGAGTGTGTGTGTGTGTGTGTGTTGGGGGGGGGGGGGGGGGCAGTGAGACATCCAAGTCATCACAGGAGGCCTGAGATGTCTGTATTTGGACAAACAAATGAGTAATGAAAACTGTCCCACAGGCGTTTGAAAATGCTGCATTTGGCTCTGCTGACGAATGTAGCTGTAACTTCTTCTGCTGAGTCTTTTTATCTCACAGAAAAACTCTCAGTCATGCCAATAAATTTAGTTACATAAACATTTTAAAAGTATCATCGAGAAATCATTGCATGGGTGAGGTGGAAGGTTTGGATATAAAAATCAGCTGAGGCATCAATTCCTTGTAAATCTGCACTGCTTGTGATCTCATAGTAAGTTTTCTTTTTCTCTTTTTGTTTCAAGCCAATGTTAGTTTTATTTGTTGAGTGCACGAACAGCTGCATACTGAGCAAAATATGTGATGCTAACACCAGAGTTTTATTACCAAGGGTTCTTAAGATTTTCATTTCAAAGATACAAAAATAATCATCCACACAGCTTCAGAGATCATTGCAGCTGTCCCAGTTCACCACTGAGTCTTGATGGCATGGTTTAAAGCAAGCATTCAGATCTTCTGAAGTGGGATTCTGTGAAGGGATTGTGAACAATCAATATGTTACTTGCTGTAGACAGCTCGTTGAATAGCTAACAGCTAATTGACAAGCTAACAGCTAGTCCAAGTGTGATTGCTGATGTTATAAAACAGCTCAAATCTCTCATGTTTGCTTTATAAAGTTATTTCTATAGAATACTGTGATTATATACATATAATTATTGCATGTGCAAACAGCAGCAGCAGCAGCTAGTGGTCGCACTTCCAGTGCAACCTGAGTCCCTTCTGGTAGGAATATTGTAACATTGACAGTGAAATTGTGTGAAATCGACAGTGACATAGTATAAGATAGTGTTTGTGTGAACTGCTAAAAAGATTTCAAGACGAGTTGTTTTGAGATGCCAGCAGTCATGGCACAAAGTCCAGACACTTTCTAAATTTTTATCTGCAGCTTACTGTCAATTTTAAAGCATACTGCCACTTCTCATGAACCAAATGTATGTACTAGTGTGAGTGTTATTAACTGTAAGCTACAGTCCGTTAATGTTAACTACATAAGTCATTGTTACAAGCTTTTCATTGTCATTAGTTGAAAATAGGAAGTTATGACACAGTCAACACTGTTTGTTGGGTCAGATTTAAGGGTTCAGGTGACGTGTGACCCATGGCGCTTGATGATTATGTATAAATTTGTTTCAAGATCCAATCAGAGGCAGTGCGTGCCAAGAATCTGACCATATTTTTTTTTTTCATTTTTTCCATTTACCTTTATTTATCCAGGTAGTTTCATTGAGCCACGAGAACTCATTTTCAAGAGAGACCTGTTTAGGGAGCAGATGGGGGTTAAGGGCATTGCTCATGGGCCCAGACTGGGGCGAATGAGGGTGGGGGCAGGTGTGCGTGCTTCACCTACCACACCCACATTTTTGATGTTGTTGGTACTGGGGCTTGAACCGGCGATCTTTCGATCGCAGGCTCACCTTCTCTAACCTCTGCGCCACCACTCCCCCATCAACTATATTGATAGTTAACAAAAAAGGTTGAATCATGTCATCTGGACTTCGTTTTTTTGTTAA